TGTGACAAGGAGGACTTGGCATCGATGTTGTTGTGTTCTTTGCCGCCATTGTATGTAACTTTTAGAGATACTCTCGTGGTGGAGGAGGTGTATGATGACCTACTATGTAAGGAGAAGATGAGACATTTTGCTGAAGGATCTGAGAGTCGGGCTGAGGGCCTGGTTGTTCGTGGGAGAAGTCAAGATTGGAAGCTTGGCAAAAATATGAGGAGCAAGTCGAAGTTTAGGCATGCGGAGAAGACATGTCACTATTGTAAGAAGAATGTGCATATTAGAGCTGACTACTATGCTTTGAAAAACATAGACAAAGCTGCGGGTGCCAATGATAAGTAAAAACATCCTGTTGATTCAGCAAACGCTAACATTGTAGAAAATGAGCAAAGCGAATGAGAACATCTTGTGATCTCTAATATGGGATCCAAACCATGTGAGGAATGGGTTTTGGATTTGACATGTACCTTCCATATGTGTCTAAATATGAAGGAGTTTCGAGAGGTACAGTAATTATAAGAAACAATGCGCCTTGTAAATTGTTGAATTTGGTACTATCAAGATGAAGATGTTCAAAGGGATTGTTAAAACACTTACAGATGTCAAGCATGTTCCAGAAGTGAAACGGAATCTTAAATCTTTGAGCTCCCTTGACTTAAAGGGTTATAAGTATATTGGTGAAGGTAGAGTTCTGAAAGTGAGCTTGGGTGCTCTTGTTGTCATGAAGGGGACATAAGAATTCAATAGAGCTATACATTTTGCAAGTTTCCACTATTATAGGAGATACAGCAATTTCTACTTCTTCTTTGACCGAGGATGAAGTTTCAAAACTTTGGTATATGCGACTTATGAGTGAAAACGGAATGGCAGAGTTGAGCAAAAGGGGGCTTCTTAATGGGCAGAAGACCAGTAAGATGGAATTTTGTGAGCACTGTGTTTTTGAAAAGCAGAAAAGGGTCAGATTCTCTAAGGAAAGACATGATACGAAGAGAACACTTAAGTATATTTATTCAAATCTCTGTGGGCCGTCCAGAGTGCCTTCAAGGAGAAGCGCTTATTACTTGATAACATTAATTGATGATTTCTGTAGAAAAGTTTGAGTATTCTTCTTGAAGGCATCTTGAGACACAAGACAGTACCCGAAACTCCTCTACAAAACGGCGTGGCTGAACGGATTAATAGAACCTTGATGGAAAAGGTTCATTGTATGCTTTCAAATTCTGGGTTGCCAAAGTTTTTTTGGGCTGAAACTGCTACTACAGCATATTTCCTACTCAATCGCTCACCCTCAACGGCCATTGAAAATAAAACACCAGAATAGGTATAGTGTGGTAAACCTCCTTGTTGCATTGATTTTAAGATCATTGGTTATCCTGCGTATGCTCATTTGAATTATGGGAAATTGGAGCTTAGGTCTAGAAAGTGCATCTTTCTTGGGTATAAATCAAGAGTGAA